CATTTCCTATTAATAGGAATAGTTCAAGAGCAACACAATGCTGCAAGTGTAGCATTATCAAATTCTTCTAATGGCAGCCTTCTGCACTTCCCTTTCAGATGTTTTATCAGGTTATGTTAAGGAGGATCTGAATGCATCTGTGTTGCAATAGTATTGAAGGAGTTATTTTTAAAGGTATTTTGTGTGTGGTGGAGTACAAACCACTAAAACTAGTTTTCATCATCAACATCACTAGAAATGATGCCATCTCCAAGATGGAAACACCTTTCATTTTCAGAGCACGCGTGACAAAAATTTATTCCAACAGTGCTATTATGTGTGGTTGAAATAATTTAAGTTTTCCATTGTGACATGCACCACGATTCTCAAATTATGGAGGTTGTTCCTTATGTAGGAATTCTGTGTGTTGCCTCTGCTGATTTATAACAAAGTTGTTCCTTATATAAAAGAAGTGGCATTTGTTTTTCTTATTCTTGCTTTAGTTATTGCAGTGGCTTCTGACTTTTGTGTAGAAGTATGTTCCTTCCTTGGAAAGCAGATTGTAAAAATGCAAATGGAAAGAAATAATTAATTAGAAAGTCATTGTAAAACCTTTGCAAAACAGGAAATCAGCTACTGTGAAATTATACATTAAAGAATTATGTATATTAAATAAACACTGCCAGTTTACCAGGTGGTAAACAGATGAGTATAAGGCAAGCGGAGTCCTATGTAACATGGCTTAAATATTGAACAGGAACAATTTCCTTCTAATTTCCGTTCCTGCATGGTCCCACAAAGTGGTCTCTCATCTCCTGCTTTTTCAGACATGGTTAGAATCATGGGTCTTCTCTTAATTTCTGTGGGGACTCTCAGATTTGCCAGTTTAGCAGTCGAGGCACTGATAGTCCTTCAGCTTCCAGGGAAATCCAAGCTATAGATAATGAAGGGCTTTAGACAACAAAGTAAACATCAGGTCTAGACTGACTTCCTATGTTTAATTTATTTGCTGTCACACTCTAAGTAGCTTTCAAAGATCTTTTCAGGACTATCACACTCTCTGTCTTCTTTTCCTGTTCTGTAGGAGTATCAAATTCTTTATTTCCTGTTACCTCCTAGCATATCATCCCAGGCAGACAGACAACACTCTTGAGGCCAGCTCTACTCAAACCCATTCAGTTGCACAAAAGAAATTATCTTTAAGTGTGCAAATGCACTCAAAAGTGGCAACTACTGTACGGTAAAAATGGTAACTATTAATATTTCATTTGTTACCTACATTTCTGAGAAGGAAGTAGTGGAGGAAGCAACAGAGCAACTGCTAGAATGCCCCACCCACCAACACACAGCACTTGATCAATGAACGCTGCAGAAGAGTGGACTTTATGAAAGCATTATGAAATTTATGAAAGCATTGAGCAATGCCTCGTGACTCTTTAAATCACTGCTGCCTCAGGCACTGCTGCCAGCTGAGATTAGTTAATGAAGGGGAAGGCCACCTTACCTTTAACTTGGCTTCAGCAACAGTTCTGTGCAATGGTAGAAGGCAATTAGAGTTGTATTAATTATTTTTTAAAATACATATTCTTTATCAGCAGTCTGTAGCATCCTGAAGAATCTGAAGCATTGAACAGAGGCATTGTCTTGATTGCAGAAAGAAACTAGAAAAATCCATAATAGTAAACAATGTAGAATTTTGATCTGTTGATAACTGGGCTCTCTGGATTGATTCAGATCTTTCTTCCTCATGAAATTATATGAAATACTGAAAATCATGAGGCAATGTAGAAAGTAATAACATTTCTCTAGGTTTAAAATTAAAGAGATGGAAATTAGTTTTCTCGTTACCATGAAAAATTGTATAAGCATGAAGCCTCCTTTTCCCAGGACAGGTAGTTATGAATGACAGGGACAGTACACTTATACAGAGTTCATGCAGCTTTCACTATTTTTTGTGTTTCTCAGGGTACAAGTAAGGTCAAAGACAAAGGTAGTGACAGAGAAAAAGGGAATTTCCTGACTTCCAGCTCCAAATCTATCCCTCTTCAGTTGTCCCATAACCTGTGGAAACTGTGAACTAAACATCTTTCCAGAGAGAGGCTGAGAAAATACAAGTTACTCATGAAAAAGACTTCAAATATTGCAGGATTTGGAAATACATTTTTCATTTTAATGTACGAAACTAGCCTCAAATTAGCTTTGAGTATTCTTAGAGTGTCTTCTATAATAACCATCCTTCTGAAATAATAGAGGGTGATCAGGCCATTAGAAAGACAGAGATTTTAATGGGAATGTTTTCAAATTTAATGGAGCGATGCCAGTTCAGGTGATAAAGCAGAAAAGGCTATCAGAATTTCTGGGAAAGTCCAGTTGTTTCTATGATTTGCTGCGAGTTGCATCTCAGTGTCTCTGGAATTTTATTACGTGCTTAGTATATAAATGAAGAACTTGAGCATCTATGAAAAACTCTAATAATGACTTACAGGGAACACATAATTAGTTTGGATGGAAACATTGAACTCTGAAGTAAAAGAGGTACTAAGTAATGTAAAAGAATTAAATTAATGAGAAATCAAAGTTACGTATCATTGCCTCTAAGGTTTATTCAAAGATTTAGATTATAAAGTGACCCAGAATAATTCAAATGTTTCTTTCTCAAAATGCTTATAGTTTGAATATGATTAATGTTCTTCATAATATACTCAGTACTACAACTTCCTTTATATGAAAAATGTGCTCTGAAGAGCTATCCTGTACCAGTGGGCATAAAGCAAGAGCAAGAAACTGACATCCCAGATTATCTCACTATTTGTACAGCAACACGGGCCTTTCTTCATCAGTTTTGCAGAGAACAAGGAGTGAGAAAAAAAGAGAAAAAATTAAGATAAACTGTATTCCAGTCTCATTTGCAGCTTCTGTATTAACAGAATTTCTTCTGTAAAAATGTTTTTGTCATGGAGGAATTACAAATAAGATGAAAGCCTCAAAGAAAGATGATACACGATTCTCAGGAGTTGTTGATAACTCTGAGATACTTCTTAAGTGGCATACTATATTTCAAAATATGAAGATAATTTTCTATTAAAAAACAGGAACACCATCCAAGTGCATCTTCTGAGCTTTAATAGGAAGGTTTTGGCTTAGAGTTTTAGAATTGTATTACTGGATCTATCACATTTCTGCACAAGACAGAGAAGCTAATCCCCACCAAACACCACCAAGAACAACCAGACCCAAACCCTGAAACTGTTTTCTTGGTATTTTCATGGAAAAGAGCGAGTTATCAGTAATCCTGATTTTTAGGATTGATAAGAAGATCTAGCAGATCACTGTGAGACTTAGAAAGTATAAGCTTTACAAATTCCTTCTTGAGACAAGCAGATTAGCCTGAAAAGAATATGGAGCCAAAAGCACCCTTGGCTGAGGTTGCAGCAATACAGAATAAGGTTTTGCAGGGTGGTTGTGCAAAACTGGTGAAATATAGTTTAGAAAATAGGGTATTATTTCCTTTACATTGTTAACCTAAGCATGTCCTGCCTAGCCTATATGGTCAGTGAACTTACAACTGCAGATGTAGTTGGTAAAGTTGATATATTTTAGTTAAAAAAAAATGAAAACAAGAAAGGCATCCTGAAAAGTGAACCCTTACACTGAGCTCCTTGCCTGCAAATATTTCATCCTGAAACCTTTAACATTTAAATGATGGACAGTCCACCATATATTAATATCACTAGCATGTGACACTACTTCAGGTATGAGTCTCGTTTCACAAATCATTCTTAAATACGTTTTTCTCACTTCATGAGCACGTTCTTAAGCTCTGCAGCACCAGCAATTATGCATTAAGATGTTCAGGCCCACAATATAGTCACAAACATAATGTCATGTCAATTTACATTGACTCTTGTAATCATATTTAAAAATGATCATAGATCTAGAGCCAAATTGTAACATTCATGCAGAACAACGGAGTCCCAATACTCAGCATATTTGCCTGCAATTGAGAAAATGATTGGTATTTGCAGGAAGCAATTTAGACTTTGCTGTCTCATTAATAAGAAGAAAATAATATTTGATTACTCATCACCTAGAGAGTTTTAAACAATGTAAATCAATAAACCTTACTTTCCAAAGAGCCAAACTTCAGATAGCTTTTTCCTTCTCTCAGAGAAAAGTTTCCCTGTAATATCTACTGGTACATGAAATAATTTATTGAATGCATAATTTGGAAACAGGGTTTTCAGTAGTGTGTACTCTCATAACTATGTGTACCTGGGAGCTTTTAAGTATGAGTTTAGTTAAGTACAATTGAATTATGATGGCAAACGTGGTCAGTAGATGACTGTTAAATGTTCTCTGTAATTCCTTAGGGTTTTATAAACTAGGCTTTGTAGATTCACTATTCTTCTGTGTAGTTTATTTATTTGTTTTTAAATTTAGCCAATTATGAACATTTTATGTTAGTGTTTTCTGAAAATTTACATGAGGATTGATTTTTATAATTAAGTACCAGCACATATTTTGTGTAACTAATCTTCAAACTTCTGCTATTGAGGACATTTTTTGTTCTTTAGGACATTTAGGTTATAATTTCATTTGAAGACAGTTGAAGAACACGTGTGTGACTTCTCTTCTACTGCAAGGAGAATTTCACTGTAATTTCTAAAAATACATGAGGTATTCCTCCTGTCTTCGTTATCCCATGCTTTACAACAGAATTGTGTTCCACACTAACAGGATACCTCATTGAAGTTTCAGTCTGAAAACAGTACAGTCCATGCAAAGTTGTTACTTGGTCACTCAATACCTAATTAATATTAAATTTTAGCGATTTTTCAAAAGTTTCTCAGAAAATTGCCAATAAAGACTTAAAAGACAGAAGAATTCAATGGCATGCTGACCAATGTAAAATAGCATAAATGAAGTAATTTATTTGTCAAGGAATGAATATGATTTAAAATGATTTTTTACTGAAAATGTTCAATTAGATGGCACTTGAGGTCTTCAGAATACTTTTTGTTTCAATCCTTTTTTTTCTGACCGAAGGCTTCTTCCATGCTCTCAGGGAACTTAACGTAAGACTCGAGGAATAACACTATTTTTCTAGGAATGAATCTGATGAGACAAACATTGAATTAGTCTATTTTTCTTGTTTTTTAGAAAAAGGTACTCTATAAATATAAAGATATGAAAAAAACCATTATATGTGCTCAATACTTTTAATATCTGGCAGTAACACATTTGGCACTTCAGTGTTATAAATCAGGAAAACAAATGACAGACCAAGACCTTTTGTAAAAGCCCAGTCTGCAGTGGTGGCAGGGACTGGAAGCAGACAGTGCTAGACCAGGCATTGCTCCCAGTGTACCATCTCAGGAAAATTTTTGAACTTTCTATACCCAACTGCATCTTAAAATATTTCTTAGAGACAGAAGAGGCCAGAGTTTTTCATCTAGATTATTAAAAAAAAATCAAACCCACTGTTTCTTTAAAATTGGGTACATATAACTGGATTGACTGCAGGAATATTAACTAAAGGACTGTTTCAACTAAACTTTCCTGCTGATTTTACAGGCATATGGCAAAGGAAAGAAGGTAATGCTAGAAGACAAATCACGTGCTTACATTCTGAGACCAAGTAAGTATACAGCTGGAGGCATGATCAGATTAAATTTTTCCTTTTTAATTGCATCCACAATCCTGCTGGCTGCATACTCTGGATCATAAACAGGAAGCAAACAGGGTTTTCTGTAAAATAAGAAAAATGGGTTATGGAATTATAAAACTTTACTTTTGAGATAAATACACATACATAATGAGATAATTTATGCATTTTCTCCCTTCCCTTCAAGTAGTCTTGAAGAGGAATCTCCAAACCTTTTAGTTCCTTCTATCATCAAAATAAATTGAAAACACTTTGATGATGTTGTGAATTGAATGACTTTTTTGTAAGCTGACCACGATGAAGTTGATGCCCACACTGATTGCAGCTTTGGAAACTTCCAAGCTTAGCCATACTATGTGCTGTTCTATGCATCATTGCTCTCCAGCAGTCCTTTTCTGCTGTAAAAGCTGAGGTGACAGCTCAATAAATAGACCAGGACCAGGTTTGTCACCAGCCAGGAGAAGGGCTCTGCTCTGCATACATGCGCTTCTGCACAGTGATGAATGGTGCAAGCAGGAGCAGAGCACTGAGAAACCCAAGATCACTGGGACTGCGCTCCTGCAATGGCTCATTCAGTGCTTGCAGCCTCTCCCATCACTGCAGCCACAGGGCCACCCAGCAGATACCATCACCACAGCTGTTCTCACTCAGAGGTACAGCACCTGCCAGTACAGACAGTGGGGCACAGTTAATTACAGTACAGACAGTGGGGCACAGGTCATGGGTATCCTGACAGCCATAACTGTAATTACACTGCCAAAATTACTTGGGGCGGAGAACATCAGCACTCTCCTGACAAATAAGGTTCCCTTAACCCTTAAATACTGCTGAGTATCCCCTTGCTGTTCCTTGACTGCGAGGTTATTACACAGTTCTTGTTATTGACTGTATGCAAGACTTGGATTTCTTTATGTCAAAAGACTGTTCTCTGTGCCAATAGGGCAAAAACACTGAATTGAAAATCAAATCAATCAACAAAAAACTGAATATTATATACCAGGTGAGTGGCAATTATTTTTTATATATGGAATAGTACAAATCTAAGCTTTACTTACGCACTTTTGAAGCCTTTGCTTAACCTAGTACTAATAAAATAAGGACAAATGATTGTGGTTTTAATGCCACATTTTCCTTCATGATACAGTTCTGAATTTATGGCTTCCATCATTCCAACGACTGCACTCTTACTTGCACAATAATCTAGAAAGTGGAGAAAAAATAAATATCCAAAATTTTAAAAGCACAGTAAAATCTATGTACAGAACTGAATTCTTTGTAATACAATTTAAGCCACAATATTATTTAGTTCTATCATTGGCAGTATTATAATTAGTATTTAAAGCATATTGGTGATCCTAACTCTGGAGATTAATGGCTCTTCCCATGAATGATGCACAGTTGCCTAAGGAGAAAATGAATCCTTTTCAGAGGAGGTTATTTTTTTTCTGTGCACTATATAGGCAAATGAGCTTATTCAGCATTTTCTGTACATTTCCAGATACAGTTATTGTCTGATGAATGTATGGAACACCATCCTTGGAGATAATCAAAACTGGGCCTGTTTTAATCTGGGGATATGGAGCAAGGGGCCTTCAGAGATTGCTTCCCACACAAATTATTCTACAGTTTTCCAGTTGTTAGAAACTAATTTAATACAGTGCCTTACATGTAATTTCCTAAAACTTTTTTGAATGTGTGTGAAAATAGTTGTTAGATACAATGAAACCAAATTTTGCTAAAACACTCCAAAGACAATAGGCATCAGAAGTAGTTTGCTACTCTTCAGGAGTTCACTCTTAGTGAAAGATGGAACCATGCAGCCTAAAAATATATATCTAGGGTGTAAGAGGTTATAAAGCATGGATGGGAAGGCCCACTCCCATAAGCTTTACAGTATATAATGAAAGCTGAATATGACTTATATTATCAATACCAAATATTGATAATATCAAGGTAATATATCAAGGTAATATAGTATATAATAATATATCAAGGTAACCCCCAGGTAACAGGTGTCAAATAAACACTACAGTAACACCATCAATCAGCAAAAGAAACAGGAGATCCTTATTACACTGAAGTTCAAGTTCTCATAGGTGACCTCAGAGATACCATCAACATGTAAGAGAGGCTTGAGGAGAGACAGGGCAGCAGACCCAGACTGATGAAATAGGCTAGACTAGCAGATTGCTCTCCTGAGGGAAACAGCTGAGAATACTGAACTTTAAATAGCTTAAACCACACTTCATTCAATTTTATTAAAAATTCTGCCAAAATGCCTTCTGCACTTGAAAAAGCGTATTCCAACAGAATGTGTAGCTCCAGTTATAACCCTTGTGTGTCTCAGGAAACAGAAAAAGCTGTCATGAGAAAGCATTTGGCAACTTGTATACAGGGCTCCCTCCCACTGCACGTGTATGAGCTGAATTGTCCTTCTGATGTGGAGAAAAGAGAGTCTGTAACCAGACAGTAAAATCTGCAGGGAGCTCGCTGTGCCTCTCAGGCACGCGACACTGTCACCCTCCGGTACACCCTCACCTTTGGGTTCTTGTCAGTACAAGCTGCTGAAGCCAAGCATTTTTGAGGTGTCCAAGAAAAGTGGTTAGTGTGTAGACCTGATTTGTAATGGCAGTTGACAATAATTACCTGACAACCTGTAGAATCCCATTAATCCAGCTGCACTGGATGTGCTAACCAGGTGTCCACGGTTACAGGCCACCATGGCTGGAAGAAAGGCCTTGCAAGTCTAAAAGGATATAAATATATTTATTTAAAAATCCCCTTTATAAATAGGCATAACAAAATTGTTTCATTCCAAAATTTGGCAATACAACCTGACTTGCTTTATGGTTCTTCAACATACAAGAAGCCCAAATGACATTTAATCTCTGTCACAATTTTTAAATGAGAGACAATATTTCCTTGAATGAAGAAGGATCATTCAGACAGAATCCTTTGTCTGAAGATCTAACAGCATTAAAACCATGTTATTAAAAACGGCAAAGTTTGTATTTTCTTTTCTTTCCTGGTTCCTCACAATTTGTCTATTGCTAAAGGTTTGGTACACAAGAGGGAGCTAGAAGTCAACCCATTAAAGAGAGTTCAGCTGTCTGTGGGCCCTTTTTGTTACAAGCCGAACTGCCTGACAATTCCAGCACTCCAGGACCCCACTGTGGGTTATACTAACTGGGAAGAATGTTAGTGTTTTACAAAGGGGGAGATAAGAAAAAGAGACAAGAACAGTAACAATTTTTTTTCAATAGCTGAGGAATCCTATTACACTCCAGATGTGAGTGCCTAGTGCATCACTATCCTCCTGCCCTGGGTTTCTTCAGACCTGTCAGGGGGAACACCTCTCCCAGTCTGTTTTCCTCAAGTATGTGGAAGAATGATGTAGTGTGGCTAGGGAATACTAAGAGAACTTCTATTCTTCAGTGATTTTCCATTGAGTACTGCCTTTTAACACAGGAGTTGCAGTGCTCTATTTTTCCCCGATGCAGGCTGTTCACTCAGGCATATGAACAATAAGTGCAAAGAGGGGACAATAGTAACACTCTCTCACAAAAATAACCCCTCCTAAATCTACTGAGACCTCAAATAACTGCAAATTCCTTCAGAGGTAGAAAAAAACCAAAATAAATTCTTACTAGCTAGATTAGTTTTCTATGTACTTCAATCAGATGGTGACCAGGAATGAAAGCACAGCCTGAAGACCAACATGTGCAGCATAAAATCACGCAATCATTTAGGCTGGAAGAGACCTTTAAAATAATTGAGTCCAACTCTAAATGTAACACTTCAAAGTCTTCCAGTTAACCATGGCTGTGTCTCCCTGAACGCTTCAAGTCTCTTAGGCAAAGGCTTCAGATGCCAGGAAACATCAGGAGCAGGGAAGTCACATGCCATCATGTCAGCACTCCCTTCAACCACAGCTGTTACAGGTAGGGCAGATTTCCTGATACAGCTGCACAAACTTCGATTTACCAGAGTGCCCAGGCAGGTTCATGTTAACACTATTGAGACATACTGGGGAGACTGTCTCCAATCACAGGATGATAATGAAAACATATTTCTCCAATCAAGGTCCTTCACATACCTATTCCAAGCTGAGTTTTTAAGGTAAATGCCACCATTGTGGTTTTCACACCTAAATACTTGTCTGTACCTTTTGGTCACTCAGGAGTAAAAAACCCACAAAAACTTTACCCAGACTTGAGAAAAGAAGTTGATTCTGAGTGTCTTTTCAAATTCTTCATCTGTAAACTCACAGAACTTTTTCCCGATCATTATGCCAACATTGTTGATTAGAATAGTAACATCCCCAACTTCTTTTCTAACCTGAATTAAAGGAAAAAAAAAAAAAGAGAAACAGAAAGCTTTAGAAGGTATCCTTGCCTCTTGTGCTTCATTTATGAAAATGTTTAATAATACTTGCAATAATCAATATTTATGAAAATGTAAGTATGCAAGAACTGTTGTATTGCATCAGATCAAAGGTCCATCTAAGCCGCTCAGCCCTTGTCTCATGGTGGAAAGCAATGAAAAAAGGAACTGGCCTCTAAGGTCTCCCACATACTCAACTTTTCACATGCTGCAATTTACAATCTTTTGAGGGGTATAAAATATCTATATCATCGTTTTTAATATATCCCAGTGATTCTCCCCCCTTCCCTCCTCCCCAAGTTTCTGTAATTGCTCCCTGAACTCCAGAATACTTTCGACTTCCACAAAAAAACCAAAGGTAAACATTATGCAGCTTTAGTGTGCACCATGAGCACAATTTAACTGCAATCAGAACATTTCCAGTCCCCAATTTTTGGTATTGTGAGAACCTGCATTCCTCTGCTAAGCCTGCTCAACCCCCTTTCCATATAACTTCTACTGAACTGGAAAGAATTCAGCTCAGATAAATGGGGGATACAAATCCTCTGAGCACAATAGCATCTACCATAAAATACACAGATAAAATCATCATTAGCTCCATTTGGGTTTGTTTTCAAAAGATTTTGTGCCATGATTTGATTTATATCAAAGCAGATGGCCAAGATTTACTTATAGTATGAAGAATCAGTCTCAGATTTCTCTGCTAAAGGTGGATGATTATCTGGGGTCTCAAAATTATGACTACAAAAACATTAAAATTCCACATGTGCTGCTGTCTGGCAATTTGGAAACAGGTGATTGGATCTGGTGCCTCAATATCTGACCTTCCTTTGGCTCTCTCAGGGAACCTTAGCATACAGTGAAGATTTGTTTGATATTTCTCCAGCTGTGTCAGGCTTAGGCCTTCTCATTGACAAGCAGGGCTCAGATACTTGCACCTTTCCACCTGCATAAATGAATGCAAATCTAGACACTGTTCAGTATGGCAGGAATGCTCAATTCTTCCTTTGAGGAACACATCTGTACTTTCTCTCCCTACTCTTTTAACTGCTGTGTCAGTCCATATGATGATCCTCTTTTTAACATGACACCTTATCTTCACCAACAGCAGCATTTTATTTTCCATGGCATCAGTTGTCCTGTTTACTCACTACTACAAAATATGTGTGAAGCTTGGCTTCTATTTAGAAAAAAGTCAAGCTGATTATTCTACATTATGTATTTTTTAGGTGTTTGCTAATTCTTCTGTGAACATAATTTATACTAGTTTTCTGTAAGACAGGTTCATAGTGTGTTTGTGTCCTCTCAAGTGCTCTTTAAGACTGGCATATTTACTATGCTTTGTTCCTTGATCATCTGTTATAGCAAAACACACATTCTGCATTTCTAGCCCACCAGATCCATGTCCTTCAGAATTCCCAGGTGGACACTGCTTGTACCTGAAAATTAGTTGTTCATTTTACCAGTTTGCTCTAAAACCTCTTCTTTAGAGACTTCAATGGACTCTTTTGTTTCCTAAAAACAAAACTTACATTATGGGAAAATACTTATGCTTTTTTGGCAGTGAGTATACCGAATAAAACAATTTGTTTTCTCTTCTGTGTCCAACCTCAAGACTTTTCATATTGCCAATCAGAAATTTGCAGGTATCTATGAGTAGAGGAGGCCCAGAGTTGAAAAACTCTTCATCTAAGAAAATTTCTGTCTCTGTCAGGACCGAAAAATACATGCAAATATCTGTGAATATGTTGTTAACATTAATTTGACACCTTAACAGCAATTTTAAAATTTTGAACTGCTCTTTAAGGTGCTGTTGGCAGGTCAGTTTGTGCACTTCAGAATAGTGTTTGCAGATTTGTGCACAGCAAATTCCACAGGCTGAAGTCCTGTGCCTGATTTGGTTAATGTGTTTGGAGATCAAAAATTACTGGGGGCACAAAACAAACCTTTTGAGACTCTGCTGAAATAAGAGCAAACAAATAATTTCAAAATGTTTTTTTATTTTTTCTCTACAGTGTGATTGAGCTGTGGCCCATGTACTACTTGCAAGTATGTGTAGAAGAAACCCTTGCTGATTTGCAAGCATGAGAATTGCAGCTCCAAATACTTACAGACGCTGAATCCAACTTACCTTTTAGAAGTACTTTTCCTCAAGAACATTTCTTGAGGAAAAAAGGCGTTTCAAACTTTCATAACCTTGCTCAGAAAGACTTAATCTGATTTGGTTAAAATAAAAAACAACAACCACAAAACAAAGAGGCAAGCCCACCCATGTCCCCACCTTTCCACCTAGAACTCATTGAAAATCAATGTCATATTTCAAGTCTATTCTGAAACAATCTATCAACACTCATATCATAAAATAATTTAGCTAATTTCTCTGATTATGCCTTCAGACACAGAATGTCAAAGATGTGACGTGAGAGTCATGTATGTAAGCACATACATTGAGAATCTGAGAATTTAACAGAAGTTTACAGTTGGATGAAGTTGCAGTGGATAACTGGATTATAAGTGAAGTTCAACTGGGAAGCATTTTCAGACAGTTGAAGGAAAAGTAAAAATTAATTATGTTAATTTAGTATCCAATTTCTGAATAATAATAATAATAATAATAATGATGATGATGATGATGATGTAATGGTTTACAAAGTGAGTCAGCACAGCAGAAGAATTCTATTGAAAATGGAGCTCTTCTTTACCTTATTTTCCGCCTGTATTGATCAAAAAAGGATCATCAGTTTGACTGGAGACCAGCCACATCCTAATGACACACCTGAAAACATTACATCCTGCATCACCCTTAGAGAGCTACAGTTTCCTAAACAAATAGGCAAAGGAAAGAATCCTCCTTTTACAATATCCACTGATTGTTCTTTTCTTTTTAAATAATTTATTGATATCTTAAAGAAATTATAAAGCCTAAATAGGTTAATATATGGAGATAATCTCTGCTGCATGTTTTACCATACTCTTAATCCAAACACTCCCATCTCACAGTGAAGAGTAGAAATGGATAAATCTCAACAGACCTGATTAAAACCAGTTACTTTGTTGCAACCATAGTTTAAATTCCATCTAGAAACTATTCAAAAGGAGAAAGACATTGTTCTACATGATTACTTCCCTCCATGAAATAGTACGATTTCTAAAAAACACAATAAATTCAATAGGATATTCTATCAAAAAGAAGCAAAAATACACATCTTACTTTGTCTGCCTGTTCATAGACATCCTCCCTACTGCTGCAGTCACAGTGGTAGGTGAACACCCGGTTGGCTCCATTTTGTTGGGCTAATCTGCTTGTTTCTTTGTTGCCTTCATCATCGATGTCCCAAAGAACCAAGGTTACTCCCAAGGGAGCCAATTTTAAGGCAACCCGCTTTCCAATTCCATTTGCAGAGCCAGTAATAAGTACTATTTCACCAGCAAAACATTTTTTGCGTAGAGGAGATATAGAGAACATGTTCTCCATAAGTAAAAAAAAATAAAATTTCACATACTGTAGTAACTTCCGGATGCATCTGAAGTTGAACATGGTTTCTTGTGTCCAAGCACCACTCTTCTGTTGTGCAAACCCAGAAACACAACACGTTACAGGAGTGGGATACTGACTGAAGAAAAGGAGAGGTTGACCTTCAAACAGCAAGTTCTTTTGCAGTGTTCTGTGCAGGTACAAAATATTAAATTATTAATTAATTATTAAATTATTAAATTAATTATTAAATATTTGTTTTGTGGAAGCTGCCTTACTAGTGGGATTAAAGCAAATGTCTTCCTCTAGATCCTACGGACCTGTTTCATCCCGAGTTCCTCAGCTTCCATCTCTGTTTTTAAAAACATTTTAGTAACATACATTTTAGGCAGGTAGAGCACTTTGTTTTCACAGCCAGCTGATGCTAGCTGAACAAAAAAAGTACTGAACACACTGGTGCGGTATTAACCTTAGGAAGGAAGGTGTCCTCCTTAGCTGGCAACGCGACCTGTTTGGGCAGCCGGGCAATGGGACCGCTCCCACACCGCGCGTATTTTCCAGAGCCGTGCGGCCGAAATCACACCACGCATTCCCATTTGCCAGCAACTGACCAGCCACAGGGAAAAGCCTGTGAAAACTTACGAGCCTTGGTTTTCATTCTGCATTAGGCAGCAACACTCCCTTTACAGTGTTTGGGACGGGACAGGAGAAGGCTCAGCAGAAGAAGCTCCCGCGCCGTCCCGGCGGATCGGATCGGACTGGACCGTCCCGTCCCGGTCCCGGTCCCGGTCCCGTCCCGTCCCGGTCCCGTCCCGTCCCGTCCCGTACCCCCGCGGCTGCGGCCCCTTGGCCCCAGCAATCTTCGCTCTCCCTGCGCCCTGTCCCCCCGCACTCACCGCCGGCTCCCGAGTGTCCCGCACGCCTGCCCGCCTGGCCCAGGCTGGCCCGGCCCTGCCCGGCCCGCCCCGGGGCTCGGCTCCGTGCGGGGGCGGCCCGGGGCGGTGCGGGGTGCGGGCCCGGGCAGGCGGCGCTTCCCGGCTGGGCGGGTGCGGGATGGCGCTGCGGCACAGGGTGCCAAGCCTGGCTGGCTTCCCGAGGGCACCTGTAGGGCGGCAGCTCCCTCTGCCACGCCGGGACATCCCGCTGCTCCTGCTGCTGCCACGTCGGGGGCCCTCCCGTGCCCGGCCAGCGGGGTAGCACCGCCGGCTCCATCCCGCCTGGCCGCTCCATCCCAGCCGGCCCAGGGCTCGGACAGCAAGTGCTCTCTCCTCCCTCTGCTGCTACTTCGCTGGAGCTACGAAGTTAAACACTTCCTAATTCATATAGTAAATTACTGTTGTCCAGCTTGCCGGGCTGGGAGCAAAAAGGTAGATGATGATTGTAAGCGTGCCCCCTAAATCAGTGAATCCCCTGATTATCATTTCACACCTTTAAAATTACTTTTGTGAGTCCTCAGTTTCCCATACATGCGTTATCCAACTCTAAAACTGCAGTCCTACACCACTGTACTATAAATATTTTTGAATAAAAAGCCACACACATATTTAGGTCCGTAAGAATGTGCTTCTCCTGTGACACCAGCTCATCTCAATCACCATGAAGTCTTCCACACACTGTTTATGTAAAAAGGCAATGAAGAGAACGCTACTTATTTGGTGTACTTTGCGTTTCAAATGAGTTACATTAGAGGTCTTGTTTATTGGCAAGTCATAAAAGGAAAAAAAACCGGAATAAATTCACAGTGTGCTCTGATATACACATTTGTATTATATACACCATCCAGACTACAGTTTATGGGGTTCATAAGATGTTTTTCTGTTGAGCTGAGATAAAATGATAGCTCACAAAATTTGATGTAATTTTCAGCAAGAAATACGGTGGAAAACTGTACACTGTCAGTGTAAAGATTTGTATGGAAGGGGTATGTTTCCATGCACAGTTAACTGTTGAATATTCTATTTTGGTGCCAGCAAAGGGGAAGCTGAAATACCCCCACTGAGGATGAAGGCAGATCTCAAAGCCTCAGTGAGCTGTGGCTCCAAACAAGATGCCAAGAAATGCAAAATAGGTGGGTAACCTAACTCCAAGTGTCCCATGCTGCAATCAGTAATTTCACAGCAAAAGCAGCAGATTATGGTGAGGGGAAACTGAAATTATTCAGAAATTAATTCCTGGTTATGAAACAAACCAGGGAAGATGCTTGTTTATTATGATGACGTTTTTAAGGTGGACAACATTGGTGAGGAATGGTGTTGCAACCAGAACTTTGTAAGCTGTAAGTTAACAGGTGGAGCCTGTTTCCAAAGCACGTGCTTATGCAAGTATGAAAACACATGACTTCCTGGTTCTTATGCTGAACTGACCTAAGGAGCAGCCAGCTACCATTCTATAAGTGATGAAAATTACAACAATGATTAATAATTTATATTAATTAAATTAGATACTATTTATATCTATTAAATTAGATGCTTCTTTGTGGTAGTGGAATGTTACACCTCATTGCTATCTTGAGGTAAAGAGTGGATGTGGAAAGTGACAAAGGTCTTGGGGAACAGAGTGAATTAGGATAGCTTGCATTTCACTCACTGCCAGCTAGATTTGATGATTCCTTTAGAGAACTGTTTAGCATTTTGAAATTAAGTATTTGTGTGGCTTTTTTCTCAGTTTTGTCCCAGTGTTTTAAAACATTGAATCTTGTTGGCAAACAGAAACTTATTCTCCTGACTGATGTATGCACTGTAACAGGTCTCTAGCCCCAAACTTACCTTTCTCTGCAATTAACTTTGAATTTGTACCAGAAGCTCCTTTTCCTAAGTGATAATAAGAACACATCAATGAAACTGTCCACATGTGACTGTGCTGAAAAGAAATAAAATCAAAATAACTGCTGCAGCTAGAGAAGCCACGGTAACAGTTCTGTGAGTGATATTTTTATTATTGACTTTCCAGTAACAAACCTTCACATGTCTGGCATTTGTTTTAATCATAAAAAAATCTATTAAACATAGGAAACAGGGAAGATGCACAAATAGATCAATCTAAAAGTACATCACTAACAATATCAAAGCAGGGGTAACCACACAGCCAAGAATGCCTAAAAATGGCAGCTCACCAGCATGTTTATTCACCTCTGTACACTTGGTATATACTCCATTTTATGAGAAATTAGGAGACATCATAAGAGGCTGCTGTGGTTTAACTCCAGACCTCAACCAAGCCCCATGCAGCTGTTTGATCTCTCCCCACCAGTGGGATCAGGGAGAGAACTGCAAGGGAAAAAAACTAGAAAACTCATGAGATAAAGACAGTTTAATACGGAAAGCAAAAGCTGTGCATACCAGCAAAGCAAAAGAAGGAATTAATTCACTGCTTCCCATGGGCAGGCAGGTGTTGGCCACCTCCAGGAGAGCAGGGCTCCATCACGTGTAATGGTTACTCAGGAAAACAAATGCCATCACTCCTAAGGCCCCCTTCCTCCTTCTTCCCCCCACATTGTATACTGGACATGATTCCACATGGTCTGGAACATCTCCTTGGTCAGTTGGAGTCACCTGTCTTGGCTGTGTCTCCTCACAGCTTCCCATGCACTTGTGGCAGCAGGAGAAGCAGAGAAGGCCTCGGCTCTGTGTGAGTCCTGCTCAGCAACAACAAAAGCGTCTCTACATTATCAACCCTGTGTTCAGCACAAAACTCCAAAACTGAGCCCCAAATCAGCCACTGTGAAGAAAACTGCTCTAGCCAAAACCATCACAGAGGCATGTCAAATTAAGGCCATCAAGTCTACCAAGTCTACCACACAGGTATGTTAAAATAATTCACTATCCTTTTTTTAAGTGCATAAGAATCAGTCAAACACCCATGCTAAAATCTACCCATGCAGTGGGGGATTTGGCTGCAGTTTCCTCATGGTGTGTATCCTCTGGCATACTTGCAATTTTAAATGTGATAAAGTTGACAGTATCTCAGTATATGCATGTTTGATACATGAAATTGTCACAACTGCTAACAGCCATGCATGGTAATTGTAAGTATAATTAATTTTATTGGCCTTTTGATTGATGGTAAAGATTAGGGTTAGAGAATTACTCTTGTCCTCAAGCCAGCTGGACCTGTTGAATATTTCTGGTGGATTATACATTGACCAATACATTTTGTTACTAAAAATGAGAAGATGTTTACTTGCAAGATGCTGAGATGAATGGTATTGAAAGGTATTTTCGCTGTTGAGCTGCAATAGGTGCTTTAAATATATGTTATTAATTACTGGTAATTATTATTATCCCACAGCTTTTAATAAATGGTTACTGAGTATTTACCAATATATTAATAAGTCATTCCTGTATTATCAGCATGTAAAACTTAAAACTCCACTGCAAAAAAGAAAAAAATGGATTTAGTAGAATAGGATTGCTTTATTAAAATGCTTGACAAATAATTATCTTACTGGGCAGCTGAATTACTTAGGTTTGTAATTTTAAAACTTAATATAAACCATTCACATGTTGCAAACAGATGTGACAAACAAATTCTTCAGTAAGTACAGACAAATGATATTTTAACATTTTCTGACAAAAGTAATTTTTGCAGAGTGTTTAAATTATGTGGCAATATGCATTCATAAATTTGGAGGAACAAAAAACTCCCAAATATACATAATTCCTCAAAAGGTGAGCTGTTTAGCTCTGGCAAAGACTAGTGAGGAAAAAAGCCTTTCTCTAGGTCACTAGTATTTGTTGAAGTTAGTGAATTGATAGCATAAAAATAAAATGTCTGTTTATAAGGACGCAGAAAGAAGCATATAATGTCGGCCTGTGATAGTGAACTAAGTAATGTGATTGACTTTTAAGAGTAATCCAATACTGAATACAAGATGACAAGTAGGAATCCCTTACTACACAGTGCCTACGACAACCTTAACTCTCCAGTTTTAATAATTTTAATGGCAGGAAAAGCTCCAGTTGTTTCCTGTGTCAAAACATGCCTCTGATCCATAGAGGTCAAAGACATCAGCCTGACATCTCACCAGATAGATATGTCTTGTGTTAAATGAAATCAAAGTTATA